TCTATTCTATTCTATTCTATTCTATTCTATTCTATTCTATTCTATTCTATTCTATTAGATCACTTCATGGCGACTATATTAGTACTAGGAAGAAACGGGGCTCTGCAAAGCTACAGCAAGTGACAATAGCAAATGACTTTGCCTGAACTTGAAAGTTGCTAAACAGGGCCAGACCTCTCCAGCTGCAAGGGGGAGATGCAGACCGTGACTATTTTCCACCTAACCCCGACACTCATTCATATGTCTCATACTTCACGTATGCTTGCACCCGCACAGATACGTATTAGAATCCTTGAGCTGGAAGAAACATTGAAGCCATCAGGATCAATTCATCTGCTCAGTGCTGGAATACAAATGAAAGCATCTACAGACTGAGTTTCCAATCTCTCTCTCTTTTTTTTCCCAAAAACCCCTACAGTTGCAGAGATCATTATTGTTTAAATGTAAGCTACCATTAACAGAGCACTTCCACACTGCATCAGTATTAAAGTTTTAGCTACACTTAATGCTTCTGAAAAACTTTCAGAACAGTAGTATAAACTGGGCACTCTGGATGCCCTGTGTGTGGTACTGTAGGATCCTCAGAATTCAGAGTTCACAACGACAATCATGTGGAGCTTACTATTTAGTATTCAGCTGCTTGGAGGGGGGACGCGTGTTTAGCCGCCTGCAGCCTGCCTTCTTGCATTTGTTGTTCCCTGTGATTCAGAACACTGCCCCCCCCCCCCCCGCAACTAACTGCAATTGTGCATGTTTTAGACACTGACTACATAAAGGACCAATTGTTCTGTATATGTAGGTTGAAGAAATATGGATGGAATTATGACTCTGCCTTGTAGAAGAACATGATGCAAGTGGCAAACAGATTACTTTTACAAATCTGTTAGGCATTTAGCAAGTGAGGATCTGAAAGAAACATGCTTTCTTTTGATGCAGGATTTAACAGATGAGTGCAAGCAAACCACCCTGCAGCAGGATACAGCAGTTGCCAGTGGCTTGGCCTCTGAGGATCTTGCCCAAGAAGAGGTAAAAACAGAGAACATTAACACAACAACCAGGACAGACAATAACATCATGAGCTTCTTCAAAACATTGGTAAGATGTTATCATTGGTTTTTCCCTATCTAACTGGAGTGAATTGCTACCAAATTGCCCGCCCTTCCTTCCTTCCTTCCTTCCTTCCTTCCTTCCTTCCTTCCTTCCTT